GAGGTACAATATTTTTTGGATAAATTTCAAAAGGAAAATCTCTGCAATTTAAAAATATTTTTTCATCGAAGTAAATTGTAAGACAGTAATGATATATGTTTTATATTTTTATCATAACTTATTAAAACGTAGATACCCTAGGACGATATTTAATACACAAACAGTGACACATCAGCCGTAAAACAGATAAATTATCAAGTAAATAAAGTTTAATGTTTAAGTAATATATTGCATTCAAAATAATCTCCATCATCTTGCTTGCTGTGGCGTGCTTCATGTCTTGCTTTATAGTAAAACTTTTCATACAATTTGTATTATACATATACAAATTATCTTCAGTTAACACAAACCTTAATTGTAGCATCTTAATTATAACAGCACAGAATTGTAACGTTATAATACTCTGGGAATTAACTGTTGCAATGTTTAAATATTCATTTATATTCATGTATGCAATTTCTCATCGTTTCTTGTACTTTACGTTATTCAGTTCGTTTAACTAATTAAAACTTTCTTTGTTGACTGTACACGGTAATATTAGAACAACTTTATATTGTGCTTATATTTGTAACAATGGAATAATTACTTCGCAAAAACTATACGATCAAAGGTTGAATGTCTAAGTCTATGAAATCACTACCTGTCGCCTGAGACTCTGAATAAAAAAGTTAATAAGTAAGTAGGCTTTATATTCTTCCTGACTATGTTCTACATCTATGCCACATTTCAGCTAATTCTGTTAAGCTGTTCTAGAGATACCTTCAAATAAACATCCATCCATCTAAACATTCGCATTTATAATATTAGTAAGATCTTAAAAAATTCTGAATTCTACATAATATACAAGTAAATTAGAAACTCAAATGGATTTGTTTACTATACTTATGTATCCAGATTAAATAGTGAAACAAAACAAAGGTGCTTTTACAATCGGTCATGCAATCTGCGTACATAAACAAATGCTTCTAAATGTTTCCATTGTAGGGCGATACAGTCATCGCGACGTGTGTGAATGTCGATGCCGACACTGTTGCGTTTCCTACACGGGTTTTCCATTACCAGGGCCGATTTACCTTTGACTTGCTTATATACAGACCTCACGCCCTTCGCTTCTGTACTGCAAGTATACGGCTTCGCTAATTATTCGAATTAAGTGTTCCAATTTCAAATTATTACATTCCACGGAACTGAATCATTTTTTTTTCGTCGGCTTTGACTTTTCGGTCTATAAAGTTTTCATTATATTCGGATGCACAAATGATATTTCATTACACCGTGTTCACACTAATATATTTTAAGTAGATAAATGTTTAAATATTGTCAAAATTTGTTATTTTTAAGTGTATTTTACACTACTTAATTGCATTTTAACCACAAAAACACGCATCTCAGTATACTATAATTCAAAGTTTTTAAAAATTAATTGGTTCTAATTAAAACAGTTATTTTTTTTCTTAAAATCGCAAAACTAAACGTAATCATATACGTTTAATTATCATAGCAAAAGTATTAGAGCATTCCGATAATGATGAGTGTACAAAGCCGGCGCGGCAAATACAATGGTGTACGGTTTCAGCCTGGGAACCCACCAGCGGTTTCCACTTGAACGCCACGAAGCAACGCCCGTCGAGTGCCGTAATCATCCCAACACATTCTTGCCCGCATCGTGGCGCCTCGTGGGAACTCACTTTGTGTTAAAATATTAAATACTAGAAGTTGCCCGCGATTTCGTTCGTGCGAAATTAAGAAAATCTGGTAATAAACAAAACTTATGATACCCGGGGATAGGGTAGCTAGCAAACAATAAAATATATTTTTTTAAATCAGCTCAGTAGTTTCGAATTCTATTCAACGCAAACAAACAATCAAATCTTTCCTCTTTATAATAGTAGTATAAATTAACTATTTTCTGATTTAGACCAGATAATTAGTAGTTATTGGTTTCTACTTTAATCAACTCAAAGTCATAATAAATTAAGACTAAATATTATTATGAGACCATTTCTGTGGCTACGGAAGAAAAAGGAACTTAACGGTTATCATTGTTAAAATTTAAAAATCTTAAAAAAAACCTATTGATAAACTATCTTTTTATACACAGTTAGTCGTAGCTGTGCTTAAAAATATTAGATTATCAACCAAAAAGTTTTTATACAAACGAATACGAATTTTCGGATATTATTGTATTTATTTAACTGAGACGTGAGCTCGCATAATTTTAGCAGAAAGAAACAGCAATTTAAGTTAGTGTTGTTATCGAAACAGGAATTTCTCGGCGCGCTTTCACTGGCACGCTTTGATTGTCACACTTCAAGTCCGGACGTGGTTTCTGGACCATAAAGGACTTATATGGTACTAATCTGGCTATTGTTCTCGCTCAGTTTCGTAAACCGATATTACGTAACTTGTTAATAGCTCTGCGTCATACTTCTTATATTATGACGCTACCGTGAAGCGTCATACAAACCTATGTTCTTTAAGGATAATAAATAATTAAACGCCATGAAATTAACAATACAAAACCACAAGATATTTGTCATACGAATTAGTAATATCTATGGTTAATGCGGCGTAACGATGAAATGTTAACTGGGGACTCTAAACTCTATAATTGATAACTCTACTCAATCATGTATCTAGTATCAAATTCGAAATGCTGTAAAAGTTTGTTAGTTTTTATAGCTAACTAAACTATTGTAGTAATTTATGAACAATGCGATAAGATTTCCCCCAAGACGCATTTATTCTGCTTAATGTTACTCTTGGTCGATATCTATTAGAAATACAAATTAGAAAAACGATTTAGTGCAGTTAAAAACTAATTTGTTAAACTCCTTATCTCTAACTAACGTAGTTACAAAAGTACTATGTTAATATGGATAACGCTATTCTGTGCTAATAAATTTAAACTATCTCATTAAGATATACTCGTTTATCTGGCAATAAGTGCGTATATAGGTTTTAGCTACTTAATAGTATGGATGGATGGATATTCGTTAGAAAGTATCTCCAGAACGGTTGCATGACTATCACTGTAATTTAACATAGATTTAAACATAGCCTGAAAAAAAAATAGGCTACTTATTAAGTTTTTTTTAATTCCGCGCGGACAGTGTCTCTGGCAACAGTTAGTTGTAGTATATCTTCGTCTTCAGACTAAAAAAAGTTTTCGTACTATTAAGTAAACGTAGCAGGTAAAAAAGTTTTTGGGCAATGTCTCAGTCAGAAGAACGATCTAAGCCGGCCAAAATCACATTCGCGTAGGTATTTATTGCTTTCAAGAATTAGATGGGTTTTGAAACTAAATTGTCTTCGAAGTCTAAAATAATATGGAAATTATTCTTGTTTTGTCTAAAACTGTATTATATTTGTAGTTTTAAATAGATAATTTTAGATCAGTTAAATCATTGTCACTGCGAGGTCATTTGGTTGCTGCACACCACATCGTGACAAGTATTGAAAGTAACGCCGACCGAAGTACAACTTGACATAAATAATTATGTTACATATAATTATTTACGTGTTAAAGCCTATTGAATTCTCTTCTAACATCTAACAAAGCATAGAATTTTTGTAGAAAAATATGTAATTGTGTATATCAAAACAAAAGCTTTTTAGAAAAATGTATGTTTCCAAACAACCGAATGTAACAGGTACATCTAACATCTAAGCCTTTGCCGTTTTTCCGCTCTTTGATTGTCGAAAACCTTCGGTAATCTTCTTATACGATTTTACATCCGGAATTTGGACGAAATAAGTTGTGTTTTCTGTTTTCCTTCATTTTCCTACGCAAATAAATACAATAGCAGTACGAAAAATTATAATCTTTAACAGATGTGACAAAATATTATGTTTATTTTATTTTAAATTTTATCATTTTAATTTATTACGCACCCATATATTTTTACCGTCGAAAACATTCAATTCAATCACTAATATACCAAATATTAGGCAATCGAAGACATAGAAATATAAACAAATGAATGACGAAATTCGTCTCCGATAACGCGGCAGTATCAAACATTGCTTCAGCATCGGTTATCTGTTGATCGACATTTGGCACTTTCATATCGAACAGTGAAAACAAATAGTTTAAGCTTCGTGAATCAACAAGCATAATTTAAAGCAAAATTTTGTCACGTTCCTTGTACCATAATGTCGTGAGTCATCGTCACCGAGCCAACTGCGCCCTATCCCTATTCTCAGCGGAATACAAATGTATTTATGACTAATGGGAAGTAATGGTGACCAAGAATAAAGTTATAGGGATTATAAACAATTTGTTCCTTGGGATATTCACAAGATGAATACGTATGTAGAGACATATTGTAAGTAATAAGTAAGTGAAAGTTATAATCAAGGAAGATGAAGGAATCAGCTTCCTTCCTACTTCTCCTTCCTTCAGCAGCTTTGCGACTTTGCAAGCTTTGTAGTTGCCTCGTAGCTGCTTTATAGAAACCTAAATTATTGCCTGTATATAATATATATATATATATAGAGAGAGAGAACTTGTGTATTAAAAATGTTTATTTTCAAAATAAGACCAATGACCCTATTACCTAGATATTTTTTAAACACTCAAATATTCTACAACAAAACGCCACCTTTACGCAAGTATATGTTTCACAATGAGTATACAGTTATACGAGCTTTTAAATAACTTAAACTTGTATGCAGTGTATAGCGTTGACTCATAGATGGCATTAACATTTTTCTTTATCTAAATAATAGATGGCGCTAAAAACAATATGGTAAACAATGCCGAGCTTTTTACCTAAGGTAAAAAAATCTTTTTAGCAATATATCTATTATAAGTTTTAACAATTTTGAACAACTAGGCTTAGCACAATAACAACTGTAGAGATTGTTTACTACTTAGCTAAGTGGTGTGGGATAGTTTGACCGGGTCTAGAGTATGAAGCGAGCTCTTGGTGCCGGCCGGCAGCGGCAGCCGCCGAGCGCGCGCTAAGCTAAGCGGCAGTACAAACTTGTTCGTCGCGCTGACAGGTGCCACGCTGCCCCCACGCAACTTACACACGCTCGCGAACACAATCTTTTGTTTATAACACTTGTTGGTACTCAAAGTTCAGTGTTTAAGAAAAATCTTTAAACAGTTTTACTTAGTTTATTGTACTTAAAATAAAATGTGAACATATAAAGTGTCGTGAAAGTGTACGGAGAAAATACCGGCTCCAGCAGTCATGTCCACAAGTACGATTTGAATGCAAAATTTGCCTCAAAGTACGTTTTCTTACAATTCCGTGTGGATTTCTGTGGTGTGATAACTAGTTAAGAAGTCTTCGTATTAAGGTGAGTTATGATGGTATTGTTATATTGAATTCTCTGAATATAATTGTTGATTTGATGGTGAATGATTTAGTGGTTTTTAAAGAGTGAATTGGATTATTCCCTAAGTGCCGTGTTGAGAGGCAGAGCTGCGAGTGCAATAGCAAAGCGATGTGCTGGGAACCAGCGGGCGACGAGCACGAAGGCACGGACAGCGCGAGGCCGGTAGAGTTGAATGTCCGCTACTGTGACCGTCATCGCCGTTTCATCCAATAGCACACAATTACCTTGGCAATAATCTCATTTTGTTCACTTACCTACAATAACGTAGGTATCTAAATAAATTGGTATATCCTGCGCGCGCGCTGTTGTCGTAGAGTGAAGTAAACTTGAAGAAATTCTAGTATAATATACGTCTATTTACAGTTTTATGTGTCTATAACAATTAGAGTTTGTGCACTGAACTAAGGAGAACAATTACTATTGAAAAACATGAAAGTTTAGCATGAATATGGGAAACGGCAAAAAAATAACTTATCATATTCATGTCATATTTATTTACAGTATAAATTGCACAAAATTATTTATTAACGTAATGTACATTGTGCGAAACATTTAAGTTGGTAATGTGATATTTTGATAAAATAACTTTAGTTAACTTATTTAAGAAAAGATTTCAACGAGTTGTGTTAAAACGATGGCCAAATAACCGCAATACACTTTTTGGTTTATTTTTTGCATTTGCACATTAAAATGTTATGAGTATTGAAACTTAATATCTAACAGTAAATATAACAATAATGTTTTTTTTTCGCAATTTTAATGAATATTCAAAAGAAAATATTTATTGTACTTTTATCTAAAACTGTTGAAACATAGCGCATATAACTTATAAGTACGAAGTAACCTGTTCTCTAAATTCTATAAGTAGCAAATCTAGACATGCAAGACGTTCGAATACCTTGAATTAAGATAAAACTTTCTAAAACTTCTTTTTAACCATAAAATTTCTCCTATTTATTCAAGCATATATAGATTTTTTATAGTAAAAAAATTAATTTTAGAGATTCAATTTTAAATTGTAACAGATCTAGAATATTTTTTGTAGTTTTAAAATTAGGATTAAAAATTAAGTTATCGGAGCAAAAATAATGATTTACCTCATATAAGTTTTTTATTATATTAAAATAAACTAGTTCGCTATATGATAAATACAATATTAGCCGACTTTTCGGTGTAGGTAATATTTCTTTATGTGTGGGACACGGCTAGATATATGTGCTTTGGGTCGAACATGTCTCCAGGGAAACTGCCATCTTTCTTCCATTCGATCTGCTTCTGTCAGTGATAACGACGCATGTCCCATTTATTACCTTTTATTTGATAAAAGTGTATACTATTCTCTTTTCCTAGGCGTGTTATTTCTAATATTTCTTTTTCTCTCTCCACAAATGTAACGATTTAATTATTTATACATCGAGCACGAAGTCTGTTTGTTAAAAATATGAAATTAAATTGAATTAAAAATGATAATAAATGTGTTTAAAATTATCTTACTACGACGGATATTTAATTAATCTCTTAACGTAAAAAGCAATAAATTAATAAATCGGTTAGTGATGGATCAAATCACAATCTTGATTAGAAAGCAAGAATGAGGGAGGCAGAGGAGGGTCGAGGGCTCTTGTACTTGAGATTTGTAAATCGCGGTCCACTTTCGGAAAGGACTTATCCTCCTTCAAGTCTACGCTTCTTTGTTCGCGATCTGAGAAAATATTTAGAGACCCTTATAGCTGTATTCAATAATGTCGAATTGTAAATGTGATTTTATTTCATACACAAAAATTTTAAGAAAGATAAGCAAAGATAGATTTTCTCTTGTTAGAAAGCACTAAATAAAGCGATCTAAATATATAATTGATTAACAATCTAAAGATAACTCAAAGCCACTTGATTTGCATTTCGCATTATTATTATTTTAAAAAATTACTTTATTTATTTTCATATTTGTTTCTCAACAATTTGTGAGAATTATTTTAATTCAGTTTTTTCCTTTGTGTAATGTGCTAGCGGACGTTCGCATCTCCGTCCGCGTCGAAAAAAAAGTTAATTAGTAGTCAAGGTATACTTCCAGACATGTAGCCGTTCTTGAGATACTTTCTAACAAACATCCATCCATCCAATCATTCGCATTTATATTAGTAACAATTAAGAATCTATTTACGTCTCTCGACATTATTCAATAATTATTTATTGACCTATCGATCGAGTTAATAAATAATATTCGAAGCAATTGCGCGTTATGTTCCACCTCGGACATAAGTTCATCAAAGCACATGAATTTAGCATGCAAGATTTAGTTAGGTGCAAATATGGGGGATACAACGTGCCCGCCATTTATGAGGTGTGTGCTGTATAATGGACATGAATATTCGCGGGCAGGGGGCATGCGAGGAGACGCGAGCGCGGCGATGTCTGATCACAATGGGGCCTTTGTAGCACAATGCCCATTTCCGATTACCAGATTGAATCGTGTCCGTCAAAGCGCTCCCCCGTTTCAATAATCGTCTGCACAGACAAGTACATTTTTGTCGTGATGCTTTTGTCCTCGTGTGGGATTTGAACAAATATGGCGCTTAAGCTCTGCTCTTAAAATAAACAAACACGTTTTAACTTTTTTCTTGTACTCCGGAAATGAGTCTTTGATTGTACAATGATATACTATGCAAGGAATTGCTATCAAAGCCGAAGTAAAAATGAAATATTTGCTATAGAAATGGGGCCCAAATATCTAACTTTGATGTAGAAAATTACAAGGCAACATTTTTTAATAATATCTAACATATGAGCTTGATTTTGAACTATGAAACGACGTTTGTTTTCATTTCAAATTTTGTTAAGAAAAAAAGCTTAATAATGAATCATGAAACAAAACACTTGACAAATACTCCGTGGGGCGAAATAAATTACGTCAATCGTCGCTTTCAAGTCGAAGCTGTTTACGAGGCATAATTATTTTCTTGACAAACTGGCACGCAACTGTAGGAGCTCGCCCATCGAGAGCCCGTCACGAATAGTTTGCGGTCAGAAAGTTCCAATAGGAATCGAACTAATATCTCCCATTCGCTCTACCCCGCCGCACTCGACTCGAAGCTTCCCAAAGTTTCGTTGTTATTTAATTTAACCTCTCGTTATGCGGGCGGGCGAGGAAGTATTGCGTAGTCGAAGCGCCTGTTGTTGCGTTCATTGTTGCGAGAATTTAGACGAATTTGCGACGATCGCATTTCATTAAAAGACGTTTTGAGGGCGGGGGCGTGACGCTCACTTCACAAAGCGAGAGCGAACGTGACGCAAACTTCTGAGTCTGAAGGGTTCTTCGTTAGTTGTTCACTCGCAGGTGGAGTGCGGAGAATATGTTAATCAACATTATTACGACTCTGTTCTTCCGTACAAAGGTGAACGCAATTATACGAATGTGTGTGTGTTGACGTCTAAATACCTCTTTTTTACTTTACCGTATATTCAAAATATAGCTGATGTGTGCAAGTATAAATGATATTGAAACATATATATGTAAGTTCACATTTAACTAATGTTACACGTATTCACATGACCATTCCATTTCAAAAGAGAATAAATTGTTTTCTGTTTATATTTTTTATGACAACTCAGCTCTTATCGATTTTTTATGAATGCGATTAGACATACTAAAATATGTCTTTCACGACAATAATGATAATAATGAGCAATCTATACGTAAATCTGTAACAATTTTATGACAGTGTTATAATTCCATAATGAATTAATGAACATAGCAATGACATAACAAACATCTGAACAATTGGTAACATGAAATTCTAAACAGGCGCCATGATTAGATCAACATAACTATTTGTAATTGTTATTACAGGAACGTGAAACGCAAACGGCTGAGCTCATCTTATCGATGACAATAAAGGTACAAGGTTTACGACTATGGAATATTCATAACACATACAAAGCTCGAAACTTCGATTATATTTCGGGATACGTGTATAATATTTTACCTTGAAGCGAGTCCAAAGACCAACTATAGACAAATATACAAACATATATCGAATATATATTTATATTTAATTGTTTGTAACCTTTGTACGTGACAGTGATGGGAGGTGACGGATAGTGGGTAAATTAAGACTCTTTGTTACTTTTATAATTTTTAAAATACAGTATCTGATGATGTCTGTCCAAGTACACGTAGACCTCCTTCCCTTTCAAACAATGTTAACAAACCTAATTATAACTTTAAAATATGAAAGCGTTTAAAACTATTGATCATAGAAGTTAAAAATGCGTGGATGATAAAAATAATGTAGGTGGTAAAAAAGGTAAACCTTTTATAATTATAGGTTTCATACGAGTGTGGCCACTAAAAGCTATAAGAGGGTTTTACTTAAGCGGGGTTAAGGGTGGAGTGAGGCTGATGGGGCCACGACACACAACGCGCTATCTTAATGCGCTCGTACTGAAATGAGTATTATTAAAATTGTATTTAACAGCGCACCGAAGCTAAGAGCGGACAAGTATGGAATCCTTACGTGATAACTGCTACTTTTTAATTAACGCTGTTTAATGTTGAAAAACATTTGAAAAATCTTTTTGCTTGTTCTTTTTACACGTGAGATAATCACGGACAAAAATACTTGCTAAAATTGTAAGAGTAGAACGTTATATTGTAGGTTTAAAAACTGTTGGAGAGATTTAGAGTCTGGGTTACTTTTTTCGATAAAAAATTCTGTAAAAACAGAGTACTCTTACGTAAGAAATGGCTGTCTCTAAATAAAATTAAATCAAAGTCAAAGGCAACGTTCAACTACATATGTATTGGTCCAACGCATGTCAAATTGAAACAATGTACCTAGAAATCGTGATTGTTGCGTCGGTTAATAATTCGAACAATTATTTTGAGGAATAAAAAACAATGAGTCTAGTCGATCCCGGGGCTTGAAAAATTTTAAACTGTGGGCGTTGCCAAAGTTGAGTCT